CAGCGTGTGGCTCCCTGACACGGACCCTGGACAGCGGCATCGGCACCTTCCCTCCCCCCGACTACTGCAGTGGGGCTCCCAGTAAAAACCTCCCCAAGCTGAAACCCAGCCTGGACCCGCTGCCCAGCCTCGCCCCGGGGCGGCCCCCCGGCGGCCCCAGAGTCCCCCGCAAGGCCCGCACACTGGAGAGGGAGGTGCCCAGCGCGGAGGACGTTCTGGCACCCGGCAAGCACCAAAGCATGCCCACGTTCCACGGAGTGCTGGCCAGCGTGGAGCCACCCCCGAGCCTCCGCGGCCGCGGAGTCTGCCCCGAAGGTCTGGACCCAGGCGAGCCGTGGGGTGGGGAGGGGGCTTACGCGGGGCCCAGCGAGCTGGGGGCGTGGGGGGACACACGCTCGCACCAGTAATGCTAATGGGGACCCACACTGGTTCCAGACACCCTGCTGGGACCTCCGGCCCCGCTGTTCACTCCTGGCTGCTCCAGGAAACGCCCTCGCCAGGCGACTCGCTCCCACCGATCTCCCTGCCCATGTGTCCCCCGCACCGCCTGGGCCGGACCCTGCCCATTTCCCCTCTACCGGAGGGTTTAACCCCCCACCCCGCCCTGCGCTGAGCTGCCCACCAGGGGCTGGGGGTGCTAGGACAGGCCTGGAGCGACCCCAACCCTCCCCCAGTCCCCCTGTCCACGTTTGCAGCCATCGAGCCCTTCACTTGGGGATGGGTGAGGGATGGGGGGGGTCGTCCTCTGCTAACTTCCCACTGCCTCCCTCCTGGCGCCAGACCCCCACCTGGAACCCGGCCGAGCGCGGCGAGTGCAGCAGAGCAAGAACTGGACCTTCCCCAACTCCAAGGCCTGCGGCGGCTCCGCGGACCCCTTCCTGTGCACGGCCCGGGACCTGGAGGGGCTGCACGGGCTGGCCGGGGTAAGGACCCCCCCCGGGGCAGGGCGCTGGGAGCGGTAGTCCGAGGGTTGGTCGGCGCGGGCAGCCCTGGGCAGGCTGCTGGGAGCTGCGGGCACGGAGGGCCGGGCGGAGGGGCTGGCTGCTGGGGGCCGGGGTGGTGGAGGCACTTGCAGAGAGAACCTGGGCTGGGCTGCCAGGAGGAGCCGCGGATGTTCCCAGTGCCCTCACCCCCCCACGCCAGGCCCTAGGCCAGCCCCCGGAGCACTGGCACCCAGCCGAGCCCTGTTCGCCCTCCCCCCTTCCCCACCCCCCAATGCCCGTCGGACGGGGCGGGGTCCGGGTCCATTCCCAGCCCCATTGCTGCCTGGTCCCGGGTTTGTGAGACCCAGTGTGGAAACCTCCCTGCCGCAGGGCAGAGCGGGCTGGGCTGCCATGGGGGGCGGGGGGGCGGGCTGGGCTGGGCTGCAATGGGGCGGGGGGGGGCTGGACTGTGATGGGGGGTGGGGAATGGGGGGGCTGGGCTGCCATGGAGGGGGCATTGGGCTGCCATAGAGGGCGGGGGTGGGCTGGGCTGCCATGGGAGGGGAGATGGGGGGCTGGACTGCGATGGGGGCGAGAAGGGGGGCTGGGCTGCCATGGGGGGGAGGGGTGGGGGTCTGGGCTGCGATGGGAGGTGGGGAGAGGGGCTGGGCTGCCATGGGGGGGAGGAGTGGGGGCTGGGCTGTGATGGGAGGCGGGGAGAGGGGCTGGGCTGCCATGGGGGGCTGGCTTGGTGTGTTCATTGAGCTGCGCAGGGCTGGACGTGGCCAGGGCGCCCTGTGACCTCGTGCAGTGGCGCTGGGCGGTGCAGGGGGCGCCCAGCCACAGGCAGTATTTGGCCTCGATCCCGTCGGCGTCGGCGCCATGGGGGACGGAATTTCACTCCTGCTCCTCTCCTGAGAAAGGATCCAAAAGAAACTCACTGTGGGAGGCCCCTTGGCCCCACTGAGATGCAGCCACTTCTGGGGTGGAGGCGGCAGCAGCTGGCAGGGACGAGGGCTGGGGATTGGGCTCTTGGGCACGCTGCCCTGGGAGCAGCAGGGTCTGTGTGGAGCAGGTGGCAGCTTGGCACACGTGCAGGGAGCTGCAGGGCCGTTTGGCGGCCAGCCAGGATTAACC